GTTTTGCTATATTTGAAAGTGAGAAAGAACATGTTCAAACAAAAATTGACAACTAGTTCATTATCAAACAGAGACATTAAACCATATATGATAAACTTCTGCAAGGGGTAAAAGAATTTGAATTTCACAAACCTTCAAGTCCTAACTCAAGTAACTTGAGATAGCCCCCTGGTTGTAGCAGTTCCCCAACAATTCGATCAGGCTCTGTCAGCTCTCTTTCAATTACATGCACTCGACGTCCATCCTGCATTTTATAGCACAAAATTAGGTTATGATTGAAATAGAATACAAGTGGGACATGTGGAAAAGTTCAATAGAAAACAGCCATTATCATTCAAGATGACATAGAAACTAGAAAATCAAAACATTTTTCTAAATTTGTTGGAAAGATGACATCCAAAAGGAAAAGGAAATTTTGAGAAGGATGAAAATTGCACAAAGATGAAACTTTATATGACAGTGACAGTAGCATAAGTTTTATTGGTTATCAAAGAATATAACGCAGAGCTCAATTTCAATGGATCCCTCACATTTAGGGGTTAGTGTCAATACTAAGTTGCTTAGTTGATATCAAAATCCATCCAAAATATACAAATAAAAAGAGACATGAGAAAATAACAAGATAGCTACAAAATTATACATCATGTCAACATCAGCAACCCCCACAAAATAATTTTCCTTATAACATAGGCCGAAGTACAAGACTTGTCCTAACCTAACCAATCTTCAACTCAAACCCTTATTTTTAATTGGCTGATTGTCGACCATTCAAAATAACCAGAAATAAAAAAAAAAAAATTTACCAGAAAGATGCAAATTTGTAAATGATAAAAGTGAAACTCAGGACTCTGGGCAGCGCCTTTGCCATCCGAATGAACCTCTCGGTATTTTACTTCCCATGAAATTTTTTAATACCATTAATGAATTTTCTTCATTACATTTTAATTGACAATACGTTCTAATTTCTTACAATCCCTTTATAAATACTAATACCTGTTACCAAACACATCCCAACGCTAATTCAGAGGAGAAAAAGAGGTCTCAGACCGAAAGTTATGATTAAAAAAATCATAAAGAATAGTATAATTCACAGAATTTTAATATAGAATTCGTGTAACCATGTGCAGCACGATCTCGATGTATGAAAAAATTCAGAGAGTCCGATTCCAAAAAAAATGAAATAAATGGAAGAAAGAAAATCTGTCACCATTTCAAGCTCGATTTTGCTTGCAACTAAACTAGCTAAATCAAATTTAGACGATTCGTTATAAGAACTTTCTGTTTGATTCCTCGGAAAATAAACGAAAATAGATGAAATTAAGAGCAAGAAACTAAACACCACCTTGCCAAGGGTGTGAGCCAGAGCAGCGCCTGCGACGCCGGCTCCGACGATGATAACGTCGGCGCCACCGTTATCGGATCTACATTCTCCGCTAACTGCAGCCACACTCTTCACACACTCGCTCCTCCTCGAAATTCCATCTCTCCTCGGTTTCCGAACCGCCATACCGAAAAGCGCGACGAGCGCCAGCAATGAGCTCAGGATCCATCCCCAAACAAACTGATCCGCCATCTCTCTCCCTCGACTGCAAATCACCGGAGATACAGAGGTGGAGTCTCTCTTCGGTTTTCTCTTCCTCCGGCCGGATTTGGCGATCGTTTTCTGGCTTTATCCCTGCAGTTTGTTTGCGTATGCGACTCTTTTCGCTGGCTGTGCTTTTTCTGAAAGATTTAACAAACTTAGAATAGGCACCCGGTTTTATAGGCTTGACAACTGGCAACTGCATACGGCGCAATTCACAACAGTGGATTCCACGTGTTACGCCAATTTGCTAAAGTACGCGTCCAATGCCTTTGGCCTTGAGTTGCGCACCGCTAATTTTTAACTTTATTTTACTCTGTCTTTTTTTTTTTCTTTGCCCAATAGATTTTTTCTATGTATAAATTTTAGTTTGATAATATTAATTTATAATTTTTTTTTTGAACATTTTTTTCATGGGACTGACTCGAATTGTTGCCCTGAGAGAGGGAGGTATAAACTTTATAAACGTGACTAGAGCCACTTGACTCGAAAGGCCAAATTTTATTAATTTATAATTATAAATTAACATTTTATATATTTTTAAAATAAAATAAAATTAAAAAAAAAAAAAGGAGATAAAGCACCTGGCCCTTGAACCATCTTAAGGTGCATTCCCCTCCCTTTAAGATGAATTTGAGTCCGTCTCATGATAACATTGTTTTAAATAAAAAATAAAAAATAAAACACTAAAAAAATTATCAAACAAAGCCTAAGTCAATAAAATTTTGGTTTAATAGTCATAGTGGGCACATGTTCTGAATTTCTGGTCTTCCTCATAGAAAAGTTTTAGTAATTTATTTTTCCAAGTGAGAACAAAAAAAAGTAATTTGTTTATTTTGATATTGGGCATTAGGAGAAATGGAGAATAAATTGTTGAAGATTATTCCAACAACTTTCATCTCTTAGAAACTTTGACTTTGATTGTTCGGCGCCTAAACATAATAACATTATTTTTGTGACATAAGTTGGCATGGATCATCAAAATGTTTTTTTTTTTTAATTTTTTTTATGTGGAGTATTGTATAAATACAACTAGGTTTTTTTTTTTTTTTTTTTTATGTGGAGTATTGTATAAATACAACTAGGTTCTCTAAATTAAATGACAAGCAAATCAGAGACAACTTAATAATTAGTGTCTTTGCATTAGTTTTTAGTTATATATACCTTGAAGTTAGTCCTTCTTAAAACAATTTTGAGGTCACACTACTCAATATAATTGGTGCATTTTAAAAAATTAAATATTTAGAAAACAATGCTTATTTATTAATAAATTAATGTAAGAATTTTTTTAATTTGCATTTTTAAAATACAGATTAAGAGTAAATTAATTATTTCTTTATATAATTAATTTATATTAAAAAAATATAAGTTGATTTTAAATTTATTAACTATCTAATTAAAATCATTCACATAAGATTGGGTTAAAAATAATATTTATTTTTTATTTTCTTGCAAAAAGTTATTAAAAAA